TAGTATTAGAGAAAGAAAATAACCTTTAAAATAGTTCCATTATAAGTAGGATCAACATATTTAATAAAAACCATTTTAGTTACATAAAAGGTGATATTGTACATTGTGGCTACTGGGACTTTTTTTAAACCCATGTCTTTATTAGATAGCAAGGCACGATATCCTATTAGAAGATATGAGATGCTATAATACAGCATAGTATTCTGTTTCATTTCAGTTTATATGCTTGAACTGACAGTGCTAAATTTTTAATGCAATCACTGTTTGATTTGGGACTTCCACTTAATACAAGTAAAAACTGATGTTAGGATGTTCATTTTACTCCACTAATTTGTTAGCAAAGATAGAATAGGCAAAGAGAGCTAATATTTGTTCCAAGAATTCTGTTCTGGTGGAAGCAGGTTCTATAATAAGGACAGATTAATGTGCAGAACTCTTCCTTAATCAAATAGGAAATTTGTTTAATTATTGGGTTATAAAAGTTGCCTTTAGGAGATCTGTTTGTTTTATTGTAGAGGAGGGGAGTAAACAGTATATAAGAGAAAATTTATGTAGCAGACTGAAAACTTTTAATAATTATATACACTCTTTAAAAAGTTTTTGCCCAAGTATATAATTAAAGAAATGTTAAAATATTAGCATTGTTAATTTGCACAACTCATGATGTTTTGCATCATTTAGAAAAAGGTTCCTTGGCACACATCTGTAATCCCACTACTTGGGAGACTAAGGCAGGAGGGATCATAAGTTTAAGGCGAGCCTGGGCAACTTAGCAAGACCCTGTCTGTCCCAAAATACAAAATAACAAGGGTAGGAGTGTAACTCAGTGGGTTCAATCCCCAGTATAGTAAAGAAGAAGAAGAAGAAATGTTGAATAGCTTTTTATTGTCAATATAGGCAATACAGGGGCTGGGGATGTGAGTCAAGCGGTAGCGCGCTCACCTGGCATACATGCGGCCCGGGTTCAATCCTCAGCACCACATACAAACAAAGATGTTGTGTCCGCCAAAAAAACTAATAAATAAATATTAAAATTCTCTCTCTCTCTTAAAAAAATATAGGCAATATAACTTTATTATAATTTTTTTGTGAAAAATAATGATTAACCACAAAGTAGTCTTGGTGACAGGAACAAGGAGATATCAGTACATTTCATAGGGAATTGTTGTAAGTCTCTTAAAACTTGATACCCTTTTCAGTTACAGTGAATTAATCACTGACAGAATATATATATATCTATTGTCCTCAGACATTGTCTTGCAAGAATTAATATAAGGGCTGAGGGTATAGCTCAGAAGTATGGCATTGCCTAGCATGCTCAAGGTTCTGGATTTGATCCTCAGTACCACACACACATCAAAAAAAAAAAAAAAAAAGACTCCAAAAAGAAAAATAATATTGAAGGCTGTCATTATTGAAACCTTCATAAAATAGTTGCACCCTTGTAGAGTTTGAATGAAATGTGTAGCACACAACCGTTTGTATTATCATTTTGGGATGATCTAGCATTAGTCTCAATAATCTTGTATTGTTTTTTAAGTGTTTTGAGTATATGTGAAATATTATGTTTGGTTGATTTAATAAAAGACCATGCATTAAACTTTGATATTTATGCAGTATTTTAGTATTTGGAATAAATTCTCCAGATTTTTTACATGAAGGATTATTTAAATGTTCAAAATGATTGTTCCACAATCAGTCTCTAAAAATAAAACATTAGGGGCTGGGGCTCAGCATTAGAGTGCTTGCCTAGTATGTGCAAGGAGTTGGGTTCAATCCTCTGCACCACGTTAAATAAATAAATAAATAAAAGTATTCTGTCCAATTACAACTAAAAAATTTTTTTTAAATAAAACATTAATGAAATATGTTGTTTTTATTTGTAAGTAATAGCTAAGTTTACCTTAACATTATTTATGTTAAAATTACTGTAGATTGGCATTATTTAATTAGGACCAACTACAGTAATTTCAAGTGATATACAGTTAACCATCATTTTTTCCTTTTCTTTTTTTTCTTATGAAGCCATCCTCAGCGGTTGTTTGTTATCTGTCATTTATAACCTGAGCAAATGGAGGGCAGGTAGATATATGACACTTCCCTTTAAGAGGAGATGATACATGGGTAATTTGGTTTTATGAAGAATTTCACTGAGGTATTTTATTACAAAATCTTTTATTTTTGAAACATTTGTATTTGTATTTGTATTGGCTCCTTGATTACAATTTTAAAGGAAAGTGTTGAAATGCAGAGAAAATATATTTCTATAGTTAGCTTTTCTAAGCAAATTTTAATTTAAGGACCTGTGCTGAAAGAAAGGTCTTTGAAGTTAGATTATGACTGAATAAATAAAACAATCCAGAACGAATTCATTTGCTAGGGCTGCCAAAACAAAATACGACAGACCAGGTGGCTGAAACTATGGAAATTTTTTTTCTGGAGCTGGAAATCCAAGATTATGGTGTCAGTGTTAGCAGGTTGGGTTTCTCCTGAGCCTGCCCCGTGGTTTGGAGAAGACTGCCTTTTCATTGTCCTCACCTTACCCTTCCTCAGTATGTTCGAATCTCTGGTGGTATCTCTTTTCTTACAACAGTCGTATCAAGTTAGAGCCCTACCCTAATTACCCCTTAGAGGCCTTATCTCCATCTACAGGGTGATGGGAGTTGATGCAGGAGAATCAACAAGTTCGATGTCAGTCTTGGCAATTTAGTAAGACCCTGTCTCAAAAAAAAAAAAAATGCTGTGAGTATAGCTCAGTGGTAGAGTACCCCTGTGTCTAATCCCCAGGACCACAAAAATCATTGAAAAAAAACTAGACCCACACAAATGTTGGTCTTTGACAAAACAGAAAGACAATACAATGGAGAAAAACCATGCTGGAACATCTGGACAGCCACATGGGAAAAGATTGTGGAACAGTCCTTACACTTCTCACCAAAATTGACTCCAAATGTATCATCAACCCAAATGTGAACACAAAATTATAAAACTCCTAGAATGTAAGAAGTAAACATCTAGATGACCCTGGTTAGGTGATGACTCTTTTTTTTTTTTAAATATTTATTTATTTATTAGTTATTGGCGGACACAACATCTTTGTTGGTATGTGGTGCTGAGGATCAAACCCGGGCCGCACGCATGCCAGGCGAGCGCGCTACCGCTTGAGCCACATCCCCAGCCCTAGGTGATGACTCTTGAGATAAAACTTGAACACAATCCATGAAAGAAATGATTGAAGATATTTTGGTTCAATTGTGCTGCTGTAACAAAATTCTAAAGCTGGGGTAATTTATAAACAATTGAAATTTATTTCTCATAGTTCTGGAAATGCAATATCAAGATGCTGACATGCAGGATCTGGTGAAGGCCTTCTTGCTGTGTCTTCACATGGTGAAGAGGTCAGTGCTCTTTCTGTGGCAGAGAGCAGGTTGGGGGAAATCCTTTACTAGGGCTCCTTGGTAGTCAGTCACCAAATGAATTGAAAATCCTTGTCCACATAAAAGATTACAGAGATGTGAAGAGTAGCTTTACTCGTAATTGTTAAGACCTGAAAGTAACCAAGAGTTCTTGAGTAGATGCAAACATAAACTGGTACAGCCATACAATGGAAAATTATCAGCGATAAAAAGCATGGAAACATGTAAGTATACATTGGTGTGATACAAAGAGTGAACCCTAATATAAACTATGCATGTTGGTAGTGGTGTATAGTTTAATTTGTATTTCCTTGTGGCCAGTAATGTAGATAGGACATTCTATATGGTTATTTGCCCTGTGTATATATCCTCTTTAGTGAACTGATCATGTTGTTGTAGGGACAGATAAGGCATGGCACCAAAGAGCAGGAAACAGTTTTATTTGGCTGCAGCCAGGTTCAGAGGGCACAGCTTTTACTGTAATCAATCCCCTGAACCCCGAGTTCAGGTAATTTCAGAATTTTATACCCAGCATGTAAGGGGAGGGTCTCAGAAGTTCACAGTCTGCAGAAGTTCACATAAAGGAGCTTTTTCTTTCACTGTTCTGGGAAAGTTGTCCTTGAAGGGACAACACCTGAGAAGGGGAGAGCTTCTGCTCTCCTTTCTTTCCTCCCCCTGCAAGCTGTTACCATGGAGCCCAATTGGTAACTTCTCTTATCTCAGAAATGTAGACATCTTTGTGAGGCTCCAGCTCAAGGCCAGAGGCCTTGTTTACACACTTCTGTACATACAAACTACTATACTGGATGCATGTTTGTGAAAAACTAGTAAGGGGTGTCCAGCACCTGGAGTGCTGACTTCTTCCAGGCTAGCAGCCAAGTAAAATAGGGCAACATGAAAATAGGAAGTTTATCTATATTTAACTCTTTTGTAGAGACTCTTTTGTTGACAGTCCTAAAATCAGCCATGGTGAAGATTTCTGGAGAAGCCCAGTTAAGATTTTCTGTGGGGAAAGGGGGTGCCACTACAAGGGCTTTTGCTCTTATTCTAATTGCATTTTTGCTGTTTTACTGTTGAACATTGAGAGTGCTTTCAATATTCTAAATGCGTCCTTTATTAGAAATGTGGTTTGCCTATATTTATGGTGTGTATATATATATATWTTTTTTCTTTTAATTATGCCATTTATGAGGGTCTTTCACAGAGCTAAAGTTTTAAATTTTGGTGACACCTAATTTTTCAGTTTTCCTTTTATGGATGGGTTTGTGGTGTCAAGCACAATTCAAATACAAGAAATATGTATGTGGTTATATTTGGGGGCGGTGGAAGGAATTAAGTGCTTCAACTTCCTTTCCTGCTGGCACCTGCGGAAACCAGCGGTAGGTTTAACTGAGGTCACAAACTGTCACCTCTGCTGGGCGGCAGGAATGCTTGCTCACCCCTGTCCCCAGGGCCTGGGAAAATGTGGATCCTGCTCCAGGCTTGTGAGGAGCCTTCCGCCCCGCGCGCCCCCTGCCGCCGCCCAGGAGCACCGTGGCCCCAGAGGGACCCGCCCGCGCGCGCCCCCTGCCGCGGCCCAGTAGCACAGCGTGCGGCAGCGACATGGCGGGGCAGTCCGCGGGCCTCGCATCACAGCCGCCTGAGTCGCCTGAGCCGCCTGAGCCGCCCGACGCAGCGGCGCCCAACGCGGTGGCTTGGGTCTCTCAGTGGGCGGACAACCACCTGCGCCTAGTCCAGGTGCCGCAGCGCGGTCGGGAGCGCGGGGCCTGAGTGGGGAAGTCGGGCGCGGGGAGGGCTGGGCTAGAACGCGATGTGGCCGGGGACCGGGGACCGGGACGCGGGCAGCCACAGCCACCGGGCCTGGAGCGATGGCCGCCGAGCTGGGGAGGCCAGGGCGCCCCGCGATTCCTGCACAGCGCCTCGCGGCTCCGCCCCGCCCTCTGCTGCCCGGGAGCGCCCTCAAGCTGGCGCGCAGGGCGGGCGGGGGCTGCGCAACGGGCGGCTGAGGCCTGGTCGGGGTCCTCCGAGCGCTGGCCACCGTCCCTCCGAGCGCTGGCCGCCGTCCCTCCGAGCGCTGGCCGCTATCCTGGGCCGCGCGCGCCGCAGGGTGGGGGAATCACGGCCTTTTTGTGGTTTTTATTTTTCTTTTTCATATATATAATATATATATGAAAAAAAAATATATTTTTGATAAACCTTTATTTTTTGAATTTATTTAAACGCGGTGCTGAGAATGGAACCCGGCGCCTCACCACACATGCCAGGCAGGTGTGTTGCCGCTCAGCCCCAGTCCCGGCCCCGGGCCTTTCTGTGATTTTTCTTATAGATATGGAGCATAGTTTCTGAATCGCTGTAACTATTCACCTATTACTTTTTCTCCAAAGAATAGAACTTTCTAAATCAACACACACACACACACACACACACACACACACACTTTTTATTTTTAGTTACCGTAGGTGGTCTGTTTGTCGCTCCGTTTATGATTCTGCAGGTGTCCCACATCTGGGCAGATGGGACCTGACCCTCTGGCCTTGAAAGACACTCTGGAGCAAGTGATAAAAGCCACAGAAGAGTCCTGGGGCCTGACGTTTGGGGAGGGAAAAGTGGTCAGGAGAGGCTGAGAAGGAGGAGCGGTGGGGACAGGAACCCAGATAAACTAGGCGGCCCCAGGAAAACCAGGCGGAAAGGAAGGAATGAGAGCTGGCTTTAGAAGGAATGATTAACTTAAAAATGATTGAGCTTTAGGATGGCTCCGCAGCCAGGCAGCGTGGGCCATGTCTGTCTACAGTCCTGGGGCAGCACCGTGCTCAGACTGCCACTTATTAAGTGCTAGATAAATGTACTTAGCCTCCGTGAGTGGATCTGATATATGTCAATCCATGAGGCCTTGTCTCTTGCGGTTCACTGGGAATAGATGCGTGATTATTTCAAATTAAAAATTGGCCTCAGGGATGGGATGGGAGTGAGGCTCAGTGATCACGTGTGTGCTTAGCATGTGCAAGGTCCTGGGCTGCACACACACAGATTGCCTCAGAAGGGTAGTGGGAGCAAGCAGTATTGAGTTAGCACATAGGTTAAGTTAGTTCAAACTGTCCCCTGTGAATATTTTTATTCTCTTTTACTATGCACCTAGTTGTAGTTATTGAAAAAACAGTATGTTAGACTCTCACTCTTTTTGAGGGAGTCTATATTCCTATTTTTTTTTTTTTTTTATATTGAAGTCCTTCAGTTTAAATGAATCAATTTAAAAGCGTTACTGGGCTGGGGTTGTAGCTCAGTGGTAGAGTGCTTGTCTAGCATGTGTGAGGCACTGGGTTCAATCCCCAGAACCATATAAAAATAAATAAAATAAAGGTCTTAAAAAATGAAAAAAAAAAAAGCATCACTAAGTTTTCCCTATCATTTACCCACATGTCTTTGTCAAGATGCTGTATTTTAATGTTTTAGTGTTAAGGTTTTCCTACCAAATAGTTAAATTCTCACCATGAATGCAAGGTTATGCTCACAATGGTGGGCATAGAACAGGAAGTATTAGACCCTTTATGATTCCAGGAATTGATGGGTGAAGTAATACTATCAAGTTACCATTCGAGCTGCAAAAAGACAGAGAGGGTGGCCAGAGTTTTGGGAAGAAATGGGCCATCACTGGGAGGATGTGCATTATTTGCATGGTTTTCCCTCTTAATTAGCACTTTCACTATTGTGACTGAGAATTACTGAGAATTAATCATTAAATCTCTTTTCCGTAGAACATCAGCACTGGAATGGCCATAGCTGGAATAATATTATTTGTTAGAAGTGTTCGACTGGTGAGTTGAAAAATGAAAAAAAGACAATAGGCGATTTATTCTCACTTTTAAATAGTTTTTATCTCAAGTGGTGAATCGTTTTGTTACTTGTATTGGAAGCTTTTAAATAGTATTTTACAACAGTGGGCGAATTTTAAGATCTTGGTGTAAAAGTAACATGTACAGGGTTTTGCAGAAAGTAACTGTAGCCTGCGTTTCTTTAATCACTTCTCTTGCACTTACATATGAATCTGAGCCAGGTATGGCAGCACACACCTGTAATCCCAGCGGCTTGGGAGGCTGAGGCCAGAGGATAGCAAGTTTGAGACCAACCTCAGCAACTTAGCAAGGCCCTAAGCAACTTAGTGAGACCCTGTCTCAAAATAAAAAATAAAAAGGTCTGGGGATGTGGCTCACTGATAGAGCAGTCAATCTCCCCAACCAAAAAAAAAAAGAGAGAGAAAAAAGGATTAGTTTGTTAAAATGTTATAATTACTAAATTTGCATTCCAGATACTGTGAAATATCTTTTTTTTTTTTTAAAGAGAGAGGGGAGAGAGAGAGAGAGAGAGAGAGAGAGAATTTTCAATATTTATTTTCTAGTTCTCGGCGGACACAACATTCTTGTTGGTATGTGGTGCTGAGGATCGAACCCGGGCCGCATGCATGCCAGGCGAGCGCGCCACCGCTTGAGCCACATCCCCAGCCCCACTGTGAAATATCTTAAAAAGCATTTTCTACAGTTTAATTATGTCCCTTGGCATAATTAAACTGTAGAAAATAATTTGTGCTTTCAGATTTTTTTTAAAAATTTTGTTGACAGGGGTGCTGGGGTTGTGGCTCAGTGGTAGAGCTCTTGCCTAGCATGCAGGAGGCATTGGATTTGATCCTCAGCACCCCATAAATGTAAAATAAAGATATTGTGTCCACCTAAAACTAAAAAATAAGTATTTTTTAAAATTTTTGTTGTCATTTTGGCCCTTTTGACAATGCTTTAATCATAGACATGGTGGAAATCCATTTGATAAGTTGTATTGGTCAACCTTTCATCACTGTGACCAAAATACCTAAGTTAATTTTGGCTCATGATTTCAGAGGTTCAGTCCATGGTAGGTTACCACCATTGCTCTGGGCCCAAGATGAGGCAGACCATCATGGTGAAAGGACTTGGTGGAGGAGTGCTAATCTGTTCATGGTAGCTGGGAAGCAGAGAGTGGGGGAAGGGACCATAGGGAAGCCCCCAGTGACCTTCGTCCTCCAGCCACACCCCACGTGCCTACAGTCACCACCCAGACAGTCCATTCAAACTAGGATGGACTGATTAGGTTACAGCTCTCACAATCTAAGTCCAGATTGACAAGTATATTTTTTTGAGTTTTTTTTTTTTTAATTGTGGTAAGATAATTTATATCTTAATCACTTCTAAATGTACAGAAAGGTCAGGGGTATTAAGTACTTTCGTATTGTGTGTTCTTTAGAACTTCTTCATCTTGCAAAACCGAAACTCTATACCCATTAAACAATAGCTCCCCTTCCCCTGGCCACCAACCCCTGTCGACCATCATCCTCTTTCTATCTATGATTTTACTAATCTAGGACTTCTTATAAGTAGAACCAGACTGTTTGGGGGGTTTCTTTTTCTTTTTCTTGATTGTCTTAATTTACTGAGCATGATGTTCTCTGTCTTCATCCATATTGTAGCATATATTAAAATTTTTTAAGACTTCTCATCTTCTGTGGTATATGTGTGTACCACATTCCTCTGTTGATGGGCACCAGATTGCTGCAACATTTTAGCTATTGTGATTAATGCTGCTTTGACCAACAATGTACAAATATCTCATTTGAGATCCTGCTTTCAATTCTTTTGGGTCTGTACACCGAAGTGAATTTGCTGGATCATATGTTAATTGTATTTTTAATTTTTGGAGGAACTGCCATTCTGTTTTCTGTAGTGGCTACCGTCATTTTACGTCCCCACCAGCTGTGCATGAGGGTTTCCATTTCTGCACATTCTCATCAATACTTGTTATTTTCTGCTGTTTGGATAGGAGCCGATCAAACGGGTACCAGTGATTTTTTTTTTTTTTTTTTTTTTTACTGTGGTTTTGATTTGCATTTGCATTTCCCCGGTGATATTTGCATTTCCTAGTGTTGTTGAACACGTTTTCATGGTTTTTTTTGGCTTTCATATATCTTCTTTGAGAAGTGTTTATGCTTTTTGCCCATTTTTTTAATCCAGTTGCTTGGTTTTTGTTGTTAAGTTTTAGGAGTTTTACATATTTTCTGAATATTCATCCCTTACTTGGTATTTGATTTGCAAATATTCCCTTCCCTTCTGTAGATTGTTTTTTCACTCTTGACAGCATCCATCCAGGGGAGTTTTAAATTTTTCATGAAATCTGATTGGTCTGTTTTTTCCTGTATTGCCTGTGCCTTTGGAGTCACATCTGAGATAAATCATTGCCAATTCAATGTCACTAACCTTTTTGTCCTATATTTTGTTTTAAGAGTTTTGAAGTTTTAGGTGTTCTATTTAGATCTTTAATCCATTTTAATTAATTTTTGTAGGTGGACTAAGAAAAAAGAAAATAGACTCGAATGACTAATGTCAAATGAAAGTGGGTATATTACTACCAATTCTACAGAAATAAGGACTATAAGAGAGTACTGTGGAGCTGGGGATGTGGCTCAGTAGTAGAGTGCTTGCATAACATGCACAGGGCCCTGGGTTCAATCCCAAAAAATCACACACACACAGACATACGCACACACACAAAAAATAGAGTAATATGATACATCAAATTGGGTAATGTACATGAAATGAATAAATTCCTAGAAACTCAAAGACTGAATCATGAAGAAAAAGAAAATTCGAATAGACCTATATAGTAAGATTAAATGAGTAATCACAAATCTCCCAAGAAAGAAAAGCACTGTTCTTGTTGGCTTCACTGTTGAATTCTAGCAGGCATTTAAAGAACTAAGCAAACCTTCTCAAACTTTTCCCCAGAATTCAAGAGGATAAATACTTGTTAACCAGTCTTTGAAGCTAGCATTCCACTTATCCAAAAGCCAAAGGAAAAAAACACAAACCAATATTCCTTGTGAACCTTATGCAAAAATATCCTCAACTGAATGCTAGCAAACCAACTTCTACCTTATACTAAAAGGATTATGCATCCTAACCAAGTGGGATTTATTCCTGGAATGTAAAGATGGTTCAACATACAAAGATCAATCAACATAGTACGCCACATTAGTTGTCTGTGAGGGAAAAAAATAGGTGAAAAAGCACCCAACAGCTAGGAATAGAAAATGTAAAAGCCACACCATGAACATCATACACAGTGGTGAAAGACCAAGAGCTTTTCCTCTTAGATCAGGAACAGGGCAAGGAGGCCCACTCTTGCTACTTCTATTTGGCATATTTCTTTTCCTTGCCTGATTGCTGTGGCTAGAACTTCCAACGTTTTGTGAATATAGTTTCATTTAATGCTGATGATGGTCCTGTGAACAAGGTAGTCTTTTTTGGTACCTAGGTAGATGAGGAGCTGCATGGATACTTAGAGAAGATCATCCCTCATAGCTGGATTTCAAGTGTGTGTCTTCTTGAATTTGAAACCCTTGCATTTTCTTTCTGTGGGACGCTTCCAGCTTTATCCATTTGTCCTCAGGACATCTCCTTCAGTGTCTGAAGCTCAGACACTGCATTTCCTTTCTGCCTTTTCAGGAGACTGGCAGTGTTTATCACAGGTTCAGGACTCACTTCCTTTCAAGGTGTCCTCCCATGTCCCTGTACTTTGGATCTTTTCCTTTTAGCCCTTTAGCATGGATCCTTCACCTGAGCCTGAGCCTGGTTGTATCTTGTTCGCTGCTGTTCCCTGGCTGTTTGGTGTAGGGCGTGTCCCAGCAGCTCAGCCTTGAGCTTCTTGCTGCTGCAGGATCCAGAGGAGCAGAGGCCCAGGGTCTTTCTCACATAGAAGGTGAGCTCCTTGAGAGCGGGGAACACAGAGCTCCATTTCTCTTCCCTCCCTCTGCTCCTCTGTGAGTTCTAAACTCCAAACCTGAGGCGTGTTTGATTGTAGTCCTATGTCCTGTAGCAGCGACCCCTCAGAGTTGAGAGGCAGGTTCTTGAAGATGTCTTTAAGGCCTCTCTGCCCCTTCCTCGCACTCCCTGGGCAAGATGCTCTTGGCTCTCTACTGATGTGGCTTCTGGCTCTTTTCCCTCCCCTTTGGCCTTGTTCTGGTCTGTCAAAACCTTGACCAGAGGGCTGATTCAGGGAATTCACTCTGTCTTCTCTTGTTCTGGGTCCTGTTTCTAATGATGGTGCCCCAGGTTGAAAGTCTTTATTTTGGAAGAAGGGAGTGGGTTGCACGTTTTTTTTTTTTTTTTTATGTTTTCTATTTTGCCATCTTTATCACACTTCCTCATTTTGAGTTCACAGTTCCTAAAACCTCCAAAGCTTTTTTACATTTTCTGCTATAAATTAATCCTTGCTCCTTCTTCATTAGCTCCAGGGCAAGCATTCATATTTTGGGTCATTCTGGTTGCTGAGAGCCCTCTGAACACTCACTGGGGCTCTGGTGTTACATTCCTGCCGTCCTGATGCTGCGTCCTGATGAGGCACTCAGGTGGTTGGTGGCTGTATCAGACTGGAGAGGACCCTCGTCAGAGTTCCACGGCTTGTTTCCCGAGTGCTCCTGCCCATTGCAGTCTCTGAGTGATGTCCCAGCCTGAGAGCTGTCTGACATGGTGACATCTGACCCACGATGGTATCCTCCATTTGCATGTCATAGGCAACCGTGTCAGGAGACCCAGACTCTGGTTTGATTTAATACTTTCCCTCTTATTTATATTCTGCATATTCCACCATCTCAAGTGAATACTGGCAGTAGATCTAGAATCTGCTTCCTCCCTGCTCCTTTTTTTTTTTTAAAATTGATTTTATTTTTTAAAATACACGACAGCAGAATGCATTACAATTCTTAATACACATATAGAGCACAATTTTTCATAAAGAATGTTTCTTTCATAAAGAATGTTCACGCCAATTCATTTCTTCATACATGTACTTTTTTGCATTACAATTCTTATTACACATATACAGCACAGTTTTTCATATCTCTGGTTGTATATAAACTATATTGACACCCAATTTGTGTCTTCATACATGTACTTTGGATAACCATGTCCATCACATTCCACCATCCTTGTTAACCCCCTCTCTCCTCCCTTTCCCTCCCACCCCTCTGCCCTATCTAGAATTCGTCTATTCCTCCGATGCTCCCCCTCCCTACCCCACTATGAGTCAGCCTCCTCATTTCAGAGAAAACATTCAGCATTTGTTTTTTGGGGGGATTGGCTAACTTCACTTAGCATTATCTTTTCCAACGCCATCCCTTTACCTGCAAATTTTATAACACTCATTTATGTTTGATCTAGATTCACCACTTAGTAATGTTTTTCCACAGCTGTTCTCTCTCCCTCTGCAAAACCATTTGGAAACAAGTGTGGATGTACCCAGGACCTCTTCTCAATGTACTTCCTAACAACAAGGATGCTCCCCTGTGTGCACATTGACGTTACCACTTTTCGTACATTTAACATTCTTGTCATGATATTTTCTAAAATATAGTTCATACTCTGATTTTCTTAAAAACTCCCTTAATTATTGCATTGTCCAAATCCAAAATTTGGTAAAGAATCATACATTGTGGACTGGGAACATAGCTCAGTTGGTAGAGTGCTTGCCTTGCATGCATAAGGCCCTGGGTTAAATTTCCAGTTCCACACAAAAAAAGAATCATACATTGTAATCAATTCTGTCTCATTAGTCTCTGATTCTAGAATATTACTCCCACTTGCTTTTCTTTCAGTTTTTGTCTCATGATACTGACGTTTTTGGAGTTCATGCTTGTTGTCTTGTAGAATGTCTGATGTTCTGGATTTGTCTGTTTCCTTATTAAATTCAATGTATATACTTTGGTGGTAGTGTGTACTTTCTATTTTATTTCATCAAGATTCATAATGCCAGTTCACCCTATAATATTATGACTTAATAAAACTAGCAGTAATCTCTTAGTATCCAATACCTAGCCCAGCACATATCCAGATTTCCTTAATTGTCATGGTGTCTTTTTAAAATAGATGATCTAGCCAAGAATGTAATCTGAGCAACTCTGGAGGCTGATGCAGGATGATCAAAAGTTCAAGGGCAGCCTCCGAAACTTAATGAGGCTTTCAGCAACTGAGGCCCTACCTCAAAATAAAAAATAAAAAGGGTTGGGGATGTGGCTCAGTGATTAAGTGCCACTGATACCTAGTACCCAAAATAAGTCCCTCATACCAAAAATAAATAAAATAAAAATGGATGATCTGTCCAAATCAGAATCCCAAGGTTCCATACATTATATTTGTTGTATTTCTTTAGTCTCTTTTGTTTATAACACACACACACACATACACGCACGCACAACCCCTGTTCCCTCAAGCCATTGATTTGGTAGGCAAGCACCTAATTTATCTGTCACAATGCTCCACACTCTGGACTTCTCTGCTGCATTATTCTTATTTTTCAAAGACATTGGCTCTGCTTTACCGTCTTAGGAAGCTGGGTTCTAACATATCCTTCTGTCAGGAGAGGTCCCTAACTAGTCATGATGGTGAATGAGGCTTTTACATTGGGAATGTAGAAGTGTCCACCACCCCAGACTTCCCCTTGGTGTTAGGGATGGAGGTAGATTCCTAATGTTGGCCTTTTTTCCCTTTAAAACAAAAACAAAAAACTTTGGCTTTTAAATGAGAAGTGTTATTGGTTAAGGGTTTTGCCTGATTTAATTTGACTCAGCTGTGTTTAGGTTTTAGGCGTAATATCTCATATAAAGTAGTTTGAAAGAGAAAAATAGTGAACAGGGAGTTCTGATGTTTCTTTGCACACTCTTAATTAAATCATGCCTCAGTATTAATATGAAATTAAGAACTAAATTTAAAATTTTCAATGTCTTCTTGTTAAATATTTAAATGGTAATTTCACACTTTTGGATTTTAAATTAAAATGATATTTTAAAAATTGTGTTTTTCTCTTTCTAAATCAACAGACATCAAAGTTTACACAGTCTTCAGATATCCCAGTAGAATTTATAAGAAAGCATGTTAAACTCCGAGGACGATTACACCGGATAACTGAGGATGGTTTAGAAATTGAACATATTCCTATTACTTTGCCTCTCATATCTTCATGGAGAAGTAAGTAAGATGCAAGAACAAACCAAATAACTATTGCAGTTATTACGATTATGTGAAATAACTAGGTGGGATTTAGAAAATAGCAAAAAATGTCATTTTAGCTCCTATTACCCTCTGTGGCCCATGAGAGAACGTCCAAACTGTGGCCTGAGGTGAGCAACTCTTTCTTTGGCTCCATGTTTCCTTCTTCTCTTCCTTCTCTTTTTATGAACTCCACAGTCTTTCAGGGACTGGGCTCTTCACTCCACATGTGCTGGCCATCTGCTGGGTCTGGGCTGAGCTCTGTACATGCCCAGGAAGCAAATCTGGCCGCCCAGCCTTGGTGATCTGGGCACTGGTGGTCCTGGTGGAAGACAGTGAATGACAGGAAAGGCTGTCCTAGGCCCTGTGAAGGAACGGAACAGGTCCTGGGAGCCGTGGGGACAGGGGCAGCTACAGGACAGAGGAGTCAAGAAGGCCCCCTGAGGAGGAGCACTGAAGAACCTGAGGGCTGCCACCAGGGCAGAGGGCATCAGCTTGAAGTTTTGACAAGATGCCTGACCTGGCTGAGGCACAGGGAGGAGGGAGTGAGAGGAACCAGGGGGGCCTTTAGGGTGGGCACGGGCCAGGTGGGTCTTGCCTCTCCCTGCGCACCTTTGGGAAACCGTTTTAACTCCCTGTGGAGCTGTCCTCTATTGGAGCTGGCCTCTACCGTGTTTGCTATGACAAATGCAATATGACACTCGCCTTTTCCTGTAGTTATGTTTCACTGAACTACAAGCCCCTGATGGGCAGAACCTTCTCCTATTATCTTGATATTCAGGCTCTAGAAAAAGACAGAGAGAACTGGTAAAATTTGTCAAATGAATTAATTTAGTTCTACTTAAAGATCTTTTTTTTTATTGGTTGTTCAAAACATGACAAAGCTCTTGACATATCATATTTCATACATTATATTCAAGTGGGTTATGAACTCCCATTTTTACCCCAAATACAGATTGCAGAATTACATCGGTTACACATCCACATTTTTACATAATGCCCTATTAGTAACTGTTGTATTCTGTTACCTTTCCTATCCTCTACTATCCCCCCTCCCCTCCCCTCCCATCTTCTCTCTCTACCCCATCTACTGTAATTCATTTCTCTCCTTGTTTATTTTCCCATTC